TTATGATACAATTATTGGGGACGAGCAATGACAATTAGGCGACTTCGTATTGCAATGTTCTTTTTAAAATATCAAGTGCTGTGATGATTGTTCCTAATTATTCTACTTAATGCTGCCTGCAGCTGTAAACATCTTTTTGAAATGATCTGTCTATTTTGCATTGTTCATGCTCTCAATCAGTAGAAATTGTCAGTATGTTTGCTATCCACCCTTTCGTTGTGTGATCATTTGCAGTACACTCTTTCAGCTAGCGATTTGATAAAATGAAGGACAGTTTAGATCTAACTTCACTTAGCTTTGCAGAATATTGCAAATATATATTGTAAAATGCACTGTTCACAAAGATGAAGCAAAAACCAGGATAATTCAATGTGGATTCTGGTGTTAAACTAAACTTCAAAAGAACTCCACAAAAGTAGGGATGTGCATGGGCAAAAAAATCGGTTTGGCACTTCCAAAATTCAGCAATTTGGGACCTCGGCAACTTCCTAACCCTACCCCTAACCATACTAGGGTTAGGGGTAGAGGTAGGGTTAGGGAATAGCCAAAGTCCGGGTTAGGGGTAGGGGTAGGGTTAGAGGAAGGTTGGGGTAAGGGTTAGGATTAGATTTCTGACATCATTCCCTTAATTTTCCCTGCCTCTTTTCAGAAGTCAAAAGGACTTCAGCACTTACGAAATTCAGCACTTCAGTTCGGTTTGAAGCATCCAAATGTCCAAATTGCTGAAATTCAGACTGAAACAAATTGCACATGTCTACACAAAAGTACTAACTCCCCAAAATCAGCTTTCCTTATACGTAAGGGAACCTTGTCATGTAATTTTTAGATAGTACCGTCGAGAAATGTAAGTCTTTAAAATGTATTTAAAATGCATGTTAAATGCATGTTAAAATGCAGGTTCGACTTATACACGGGTCAGTGCTAGTGCAGCTGTCTGAGCTGGAATGTGGATAAAGCAGGCAAACAGCACCCCAGGCAGCCTTACGCTCCATGCAACGGCAGTTTGAGAGGTGCTCCTGGTGCAGGCATGAAAGGAAGAAGATCAGGGAGACCTTGTCAAAATTTGAGATGGAGAGCATCCGGGATCTCCTCTGCCCAACACAGCTACCAAGCTCAAGGGAGAGGTAGGCAACATCAGGCTGTCTTGGTTAGGGATCGGTTCAGGCTTCACACTCCCTCCTAAATCTGGAGAGCTTGCCGCCGGCTTCTGCAAGCTGACGGTTTCCAGCTGAGACTTCCTTGTGGTCCTCATATCGACATCGTGCTTCTGGCCTCCAGATTGGGAATACCGGTAGGCTGATCAATGTGGACTGCACCAGGGACTAACCTAGCTTCTATGTGTCACGCTGAATACACTGATATACTGGTACTCCACGCAGTTGTTTTATTTTATGTTTCTTTTTGTGCCCTTATGCTTTTCATTTTGTTTGTATTAAGGGCTCACACAGGGCCATTACTTTAACACTATTCATATTATATGCCCTCAATAGTGTGAGTCTTTATAGCTGACCAGCCTTTTTCTGCTGTGGTAATTTACAGCTAATGTTTACTAAGTGTTCTCTCACTCAACAACTTAAAACATATATTTTTATTTAAATTGTACTTAGCAACTGCTCTAGCTACTACTCGTGCATAGCATAGCCATTGCCACTTGGCTAGACTGTTATATATATATATATATATATATATGTGTGTATGATTACTAATGCTCATTTTGTTCTAAAAAAAAACCCACAAAACCAGTGCAACTCACTTATCAGTAACTTGTCTTTGATGTCATAGCCCCAAGTTTCACCCTCGACTTATCCACGAGTCATAGCATATTTTACAATTATTGGTCAAAAAACTGCCCTCGACTTATACACCAGTATATACGGTATATATAGAAGTCTGTAAAGACATGTTTTGCTTTGTTTCATTATATCTACATATCTAGATACAAATCTAGACAGTTACAAGATCAGAGACCAGGGCTACATAACAGTCTTATTTATTTAATTTACCCTGTGAGGGTAATTATCTGTGGACCTTCATATCTCAACCCTGACACAGAATGCAGTGGTTTATCTTATAGTTCAGATTAGTATTGCTGCCCAGTCACCAGAAAGGATCCACAACAACTTTTATTTTACAGGTATTTGTTTTATTGACACCTCTCTTCACTTTTATTAGGTTGGGGTGTACTTAGGGGGCATTCATTTTAAATGGGGGTGGTTAGGGATTTGGAGATCCCTAACCAATGAGGCAGACACTTAAAAACAATTTAGAGGTATTCAATGACATGTCCAATCCCCTTGTAAGTTTTCATATTTGATTTTTTTTAACACTTTGCCTGTTGACTGCTTGCAAAATGCAAGTGAACAATAATTGCAATAATTTCATGTAATATTTTATTACAATTCAACTTGTCTGTAACCCCAATCCTTTTGTGCCCTGCTACAAATACATTGTCTGATCTATATAAAACAAATGGTTCTCTAGATTCATTTGGTTTTTTTTTTGTTTTTTTTTAAATGGTCTTTGGTAAATATTCAGTATCCCATACTGAATATTAGATGTTGGATAGATTTCGAATAGAGATTTCAGATGCAAAAGTATTGATTTTAAACCAGACACTAAATGCCCATTTATGCAGATTTAATGGGTTTCTGAACTCCATCCAGAATTTACTATAGCAAATATGATCATTACCATTCCACTTAGAATTTTGCCCTTCTCACTGGATTTTGTTCAATTGAACAAATTCTGGTGTTTAGTGAATTACCCTGATAGTTTACAAAGACCACTAGGGACCACCAACTAACTTAATCTGTACTACTGCTTATAGGTTAGAAAGAACAGCTTATAGCATGTAAGCTCATTGAGCAGGGCCCTTAACCCCTCTGTTCCTGTGCTTCCATTTGTCTGGTTACAATTACGTGTCTGTTAGTCCACCCATTGTACAGCGCTATGGAATTTGCTGGCACTATATAAATAATAAAATAATAATAATATTGAGTGACACACACAAGACATAATTACAGAAAATCCAGGGAGATCTCACATATACTTTATGTAATATGTGTTTTATTGAGGAATATGGGGTGGATTATCTTCTTCTCTCTGGTTTTAGTCACCCGAAAGCATAGACTTTTATATTATTTATTTAGGCCTCTAACAACCATATATTAGCCGCAATTCCTGAATTCCTTGTGAATTTCTGCCACACAGAGCTTTGATTTTAAAAGACTCACAAAAGTTAATGGGACTTTTGACATTCAACAAGTTTTGTAAGGTTTTTTGCACTTGTTAACCCTGTTTTACAGTCACAAAGTACATTCTCACTTTAGAAATCTACTCTAAAAATATGTTCTGCCCTGTTTCTGCATCAATCCCAATATCTGAATATATGTTGAGATTAAAAGCCAAGTTATTGATAAAAGGATTAGCTTTTAAGAAGCTGACAATGACCATGTTAAGTTGCATTACAACACCCAGTAGTTATAACTAACTCCATTGAATTGCTTTATAGAATTATCATTTTACGGGCCTTTTTAGTGCAACGTATACAGGGTTAGTCACAAAAGTGAGAATTTAAGGTGAACTCAAAGGGAATTTCAAATGTTATTAAGACACGGAGGCTCCTATTATCCTGAACTCTTTCTTTATTTCCCCCAGTAGCAAAGAAAAATATAATATAAACAGTATGGTAACAATTAATAGTCTGAGTGGTACATCTTCCTAGCGACAGGAACAGCCAATTGGATTCCACTCTCCAGCATAACAGGCGGTGTCTAGAAAACTGTTTCCACTTTCTTTGCTGTCCCCTCAATTAAGTAACACCAGGTCCCGCGGTTTCTTAACTGCGGGATCTTCTTCTACGTAATATTCTTAATATTCTTAATTATTATTGTATATTTCTTACAGTATTATATTGTGGAGTTTAATAATTATAATATTTATTTAATTATTTCAATATTACTATTTAATTTTATGATTACTTATTAAATTTCATTGTTCTATATTTATATTTATATCATTTTCCCTTTTGAGCTTGTTTTATTTTCTTTCTGACTTCCCTGGGCCCAGTGTTTATTAATAGGGCTCATGGACTTCTGGTGCCCTGTTCAGCAATTTCGCGCCATTTGTTCCCTCACTTCTAACCGTCCAACCGCCAATTACTTGCTTAGAATGCGCGCACGTGCGTTTCATTCAGTTATCCTATTCAGCAGTTTTTTCCCGTGAACGCATAGGACGCCTCAGACGAATTGATTATACGTATGGTTGCCGCAAAGCCTCTATTTTTACAATTTGCAGCGACATTTCCATTTGCAGCAGTCATTTTCTTGGTTTCTTTCCCCTGCGTCCTGACTCTTGTACTGCCCCCAACGGCTGGAACTCGGAGTTCGGGGTTAGTGGTTGTCAGGCGGCTCTGGTTCTCCTGCTCATTCTATGGTTTCATTTTCTGTGAGTAAAACAATTTTCCGTCCCACTAGATCCTCTATTTCTGGGTTAAGCAACCATTCACCTAGGTTATATTTGGTATTAGTATTTTGTATTATTGCACCTGTCAGTTCTACACATAAATGCCAAAATGCCATCTGACAAAGTTGCTTTAGCACCCTCTGGGTCTACTGCACCCAGTCAGGTTGGTTTTGATGTGCCTGGAGGTGCATCTGGAGATGGAGCAGTTTACTTTGCTGAATTTGAAGCTTCTGCTGAAATGCAGACCCTGATTGAAAATTCTATGTCAAAAGCCATGACTAAAGCCCTAATGTCGGCTATGGGAGTAGTGTCTGACTCCCTGTCACAGACATTTGCACAAGCCTTGATTCATGGCACAGAGATTGGCTCAGCCGATTACTACAAAGGCTTTGCCTTTAACGACTCCTGTGCAGCCTCATTCTGGCCGCAAAGCTTTTGCTAAGGTTAAGCACTCCTTTATATCAAAGATGGCGCGATTAATCTGCCACTGAGCAAAAGAGCCACTAGCCGGGGAAAAATTGGCTAGACTATGGAAGATGGCAAAAGCCCAGTTAGATTCTGAGTCAGATCTCAGCAATATTGAGGAGGAGTCCTATATGGACTATTTGGAAGATCCATCGGATCCTGATTCTGACATTGAAGTCAAGGAATCTGACCCTTCCCAAGACCCTAGTACGATTAAAACCGTTAACATTGACATAGAGCATGGGGCCACAGGTAAGGTTTTGGATCCCCATTGTGAATCCCTATTTGACACAGATGATCTGTGCCTCCCACGGTCAGCAGAATGGTCTCCCTCAGACCACGTAGCCAGATATATAGAGTCACGAGTTCGCAAGCCTTTAGATAAGGCGACCCAAAATAAATTGCGGGTAGAATGCCCATGCCATACGGTCCCAGATGATGCTTGCAGGACGCCTGCACTTGATCCAAAAATTATTTAATTTCTTGGGGAAGATGGACTGGAAGCCTAATAAAGGCCTAGATTTTTCCTTGCGCAACTGCCAGGATAAAGTCTTGGACATCTTGGGCCCGGCAACCAAGATATTTGAAGTGGTCGAAGACTCCTACATTTTTTCTATGTATGGTCTCTCATTTCATATACTTGGGTATTAAACACTGTAAAAGGGTATTTCATAGATTTCCTATCTCTGCCAGTACAATATATCCCACTGAGGGAAATAGTTTTTTTCCCGACACGATGCAAACCTTGTCACCAAGGAAATATTGGATCTGAGGCACAAACAAGCCATCATAGAAATCCCTATGTTTACACCAGGCTATGTGAGCAACCTATTCCTGGTTTCCAAAAAAGGCAGAGGTGTCCGCCTAGTGATAAATTTGAGGAAACTCAACACTTATGTAACCGATGACCATTTCAAGATGGAAGTTAGATCTGCAAGATGCTTATCGCATTACAACTCCAAGACTTCTTGTAGTTCATGTGGCAAGAAAGGAAATGGAGGTTCAAATGCCTCCCATTCGGACTGTATTCAGCCCTGTGGTGCTTCACCAAACTCATGAAGCCCGTGATCGCTCTATTACGGAGTCGAGGAGTACATCTCATAATATACTTGGACAACATTCTCATCCTGGCTCAATCTATTCAACTCATTCAGACCCATCTGAACTGGACTCTGACTCTGTCACAGAATCTAGACTTCCTAATCAATTGGGAAAAGTCCATCTTGGTTCCCACACTACGCATAGAATTTTTGGGTCTCATTGTAGATTATGCTCTTCAGACCCTGATCCTCCAATGACAAAACTGAACAGTATCAAGAAGGAAATCAGGCGCACGCTGGCAGCCCCTCAACTTACTCTCAAACAATTGGTGAGAATTTTTGGTCTCCTGGCGGCTTCCATACAAGCCATTTTCCGGGCCCTCTTTACTATCGAGCCCTACGACGCTTACAGACCTCCCATCTGAAGGACAGCGTATTCTACACAGATATGGTCCCTCTGGACTCGGAGGCGAAAGACAAACTGAAATGGTGGCTTCTTCACATGGAAGCTTGGAACAGTCGCCCATTTTCGGCGACGCACCAGATTTAATAGAATTCGATGCGAGTTTACACGGTTGGTGTACTCGCTGTGGAAATGTCTCTACCGATGGCAGATGGTACGATTTGGAATTGTCCTTCCACATCAATTGCCTGGAACTCCTGGCCGGTTCTTTTGCAATCGGCAGTTTCTCCTCAACTCAGGCCCACACCTCTATCCTCCTAAAGATGGACAATATATCAGCTGTCCATTACATCAACCACCTCGGAGGCACAAAATAGAAGGTCCTAGCAAACATAGCATGAGATTTTTGCAGTTCTGCCTGGTCTCTGCAACACTCACAACACCTCCAAGACCCCAGTGATTGGTATCTGTATTCCAGGGTCTTCCAAGACATCCAGCATTTATTGGGCCCTTTGACAAAGACCTTTTTGCTTCCCGCTTGAATATACAACTTCCCAGGTTCTTCAGTTGGAGACCGGACCCGTCTGCACTAGCAACAGATGCTTTCAGCCAAGACTGGTGTTCCACAAGGAACTATGCATTTCCACCCTTTGCAATGATTCTACATCTCACAGTGTGGCTGATTTCAGGGGACCTCGGTCAATCGAGGGAGTTTCAGAATCAACTCCGCCTTCTCGAGGGTGCATGGGCACCCGGCACAAGACAGGCTTATAAGTCTACCTGGAGCAGATGGCATGATTGGTGCCTGGAACAAAATTTGGATCCCGTATCAGCTCCTCTGACCTCGATTCTCCACTTCCTAACCTCACTATTTGATGACAGTAAAGCCTACCAAACAGTGAACCGCTATCGTTCTTCCATATCGGCTGGACACCTATGGTGTGTAGACTCCTACGTGGTATCAGATTTGCATGTCCTCCATTGCCACGTTATTCAGTATTATGGGATGTTTCTCTCATCCTCAACTTTCTCGAATCCTGGCCGACTAATACCTCTCTATCCCTGAAGCAACTGTCGGCAAAACTAGTCATGCTCCTTTGTCTAATATCCTGCAAGAGGGTTTCTGATGTCAAAGCTCGGGATATTACCGCTCGTTGCTATATTACAAAAGAGGTACTTTTTAATATATCTCAAAGAACTAAGACTTCATCAAAAAAAGTTTTATATCCATCTTCCCTGACAGACCACTGTTATGTCCGGTCGCATGCCTACGAACATATAAATTTCACACCTCTTCATTACGAGACCCATCGAAACACAAGCTCTTTGTTTCCTTCCAGAAACCGCATCGGCCAGTGTCTACCCCTACCCTGGCTCAGTGGGTCAAATTGATTGTGTCTCTGGCTGGTATTGAAACCTCACTATTTTCACCTCATTCAGTTTGAGGGACAATGGCCTCTAAGGCCTCCTCGATTGGTTGCCGCCTTGAGGACATTTAGAAAGTGGCTGACTGGTCCTCGGATATCTTCTGTGATTTTTATTTTAGACCTATACAACACTTTGCAGGGACTGTAGTTTCCCAGCTTTAAACTAGCATAATAGGAGTCTCAGTATCTTAATAAAATTCACAGATTTTACTTTTAACATGGCATAGAGTAATGATTTTATTAATGACACAGAGGCGAGTATTATCACTCCCTCCCATCCCGAGGATTGATTGAATATGGGTAAGTTGACTTCACAGTAAGTCTTTGAGTATGGGATTTTCCTGTTAGGATTGTCTGAATTCAGTCTAAAGTATTTTGCCTAGCTATGTTTTATGATATGCACTATGACTTATGCGTACATCCAGTTTTATACTAGGATGTTACCATATTTCTCCTCTCTAGTACAGCTTAATTTGACATTGTATCATTTGGGAATTCTATTTGTTGGTGTTCCCTTTTCTGTTTCCTTGTTCAGGATCGCAAATAAAGAGGAAACAGTTTACTAGACACCGCCTATTATGCTGGAGAGTGGAGTCTGATTGTCTGTTCCTGTCGCTAGGAAGATGTACAACTCAGACTATTTATTGTTACTATACTGTTTATGTTATATTTTTTCTTTGCTGCTGAAGGAAATAATGAAAGAGTGCAGCAGAATACTCGCCTCCGTGTCGTTAATAAAATCATGACTTCACGTCATGTTAATAGTAAAATCTGTGAATTTAAGGTGAAAATAGCAGAACTGGAAGAATTCTCTAGGTTAGCTATACTTTCAGTACAACTACTCTGGCCTTAAATTCACATTGAATTAACTTTGAATTCTCACTTTAGTAAATAATTCTTATAGTTTTATGAATAGTATCTCTAAAACTAGATCACAAATTGAAAAAATTTTGAATAAAGGGGTTCCTTAACTTACTAAATCTGATATAGGGCTTCACAAAAAAAAACTTTAACATGGTTCTTTCACAATCCCAACTTAAACTGTGTCCTAAAACTGCCAGAGAATTTGAGGTGCCTCTACAAACGGACGGCATAACTTCTTCAGGTCTCAAACAACCTACACAAGTCTTATAGAGATTATGATGAACTGGGACAGTCATAAATACCATTCACTGCAAGTCTCTGTTGGTCTTACCAATAGTAAATAGTCTTATTCTCCAGAATATACCTCTGGTTTATATTCCTTTTAATTTTTTATTTGAATAAATTGAAAAAGAACTATACTTATATCTGCCTGTTGTATTGCTATCTTCTATTGAATTATTGGGCTCTTCTCCCTATATGTGTTTATTTTTAATGGATACTTCATACTGTGTGTCTGTGTCCACTCTGCAAGTCTTGTTAGTTTAGAGATTTAGTGCTATAATTTCTGTGGCAACGGTTACCTAACATACGCGGGAGCATTATAGACTTACAGAGAACGAGCTGTTTTATATAGATTACACAGTGGATGTGTAGCAGGGTTACAAGCAAGTTGACATATAGTGAAATATTACATGAAATATAAAATAAATCTGTATTTATACAGGGACACAGAACAAGTTGAGGAACCAGCATTAGGGAATTTAGACTGCTGAAGTAGTATATTTAGCTATGACTGTCACTGCAAGTATATTCTGTTATATGAAAGGTATCATTAACCAACTTCATGATACTAAAGTTTAGGTCCTTATCAGGACCAAATTAAGAGCCCATTGGGCCTGGTGCTGACAATTATGATGGGTCTAATTATACAATCTAATCGACAGAAAACACTAAAACAGTTATACCTCCTAAAGGTATCTGGTGGAGGTGGTGCTGACTGGAAACTCACAGGATATAGCTATCAGAAAGCACATACCTTATGCTAATCCCTCGCTTTCATCTTTCAAGTAAATCCATACCCCCTAACACTCTAACAGCATTGTCCGGTGAAGCAGGATTTCGGTGGACGGCGTAAAAGGGTGGGCCATGTCTGCAAGAAGAATTAGATGGTCAGCCTGGTGTGAATGCATGTCAGGCTGCCTGCCAATCATGCAATATGACCAACCAAGGGCATACTGTGCAGACAGCACCCTGAGCTTGGCATAGATGTGTCTAATGATGCACTAGCTCTACACTTTCTAAGTACTGTCCCCTAGCACTTGCTGGTCCACTCCTCTCCTGGCCTTCTTACTAGCAGACAGAAGCTCCCATCTGGGACAGAGAAAAAGTGTATGTAGTGAGTGTAGAAGAAAGGGAACATGCCACAGTGTTAGAGAGACTGAAGTAGCAAGAGCATTTGCATAGTGCACAAAGCCAGTTTTACCCTAACTCATTTAATTGTCAGCCAGTCCACATCAG